TATGTTCGTAACTTACCATCGCCCGGTCATAGGCACTCAAGACACCACGACTACCCCTCTTGTTTTAATCCCATAAAATTCGTCGCTGCATAGCTGAGGTTGCCGTTTATTATCATCACTGCGTAGGTGCTCGGTAATGTAAGATATACCCTTCAAACTCTGTATCTCATTGTATCTCTGCAAGCAAGTTTTCCGTATCCACGAATTTCTTATAGATCGGTAGACCCATGAGTTTCCTAGCACTTGAGTTATCCTCTGGACTACTTGGTGTCACATGTTGCGAAAAAACCCCGTAAATGCAAATTTACTTTTATTATGCACACAACGCGCGAATTTTCACCACAGGGGTTGTTTCACTGAATTAGGTGTCCTCTAAGAATTCAGCTTTCAGCTGTTTTGTCGAATGTAAATCGTTACACCAATCGTTACAAAAATTGATGACAGTCACGTCGTGTTTCATTCTGTAACATAAGACAGTTTGGGATTGGGGGTGACTAACAGTCACTAATATTGCAAGATCTTGTGGCTCTATGAATTAGACTGGATACTTATTAGAGTTTATGTTGTATATAATATTTACACCATGTTTATAAAATAATTTGAGCTCTAAATGAGGATATTGGTGTTTCAGGTCCTCCGAGCTAAAGATGTTGCTTCCAGACGTTTCGTAGTCAGGCTAGGCAACGTCATCCAGTGCAACTGGGTAGTGCATGTTACCGAGCTAAGCCACAGCGAATCTATCTATCTACTGCCGAACTGGGTTTACGATGGCAGGGCTCGCAGCAGTGACAAAAGCGGCCGCCAAGAACTCGGGCTATAGTTCGTGCGAAGAGGTAACCATCTCGTCTGACCACGCTGAATTTCAACCTCACGGATAAGGTACCCTAATCTTAACCGACTGCTTTGTCCAGAACATGTTCTGCACATATCCCTGGGTAAAATCTGTGGATATTTTTCACTAAGGTGTGCAAATGTTGAAGGAAGGTGAAGATGACCAGCTCGTAATTCGACTGAAAGGTATGTGTTGTCATGCAGACTGGGTTAGTTTGTTGGACTAGGATCGTCGAGAACGGCTCTATCTGGGGGAAGCAACGCAAAAATAATAAAACTAAGGTTCATAAACACTGTTTTTCCTCCGTTTGCTGTCCTCTTCTTTCCACGTTTATCTTATTGAGTCAAGGCTTTGTCTATTTCAATCATGTACTGTTTTCTTCGATGGGGCATGTTGAAGGTTGATAATAAAAACCAGGCCTTTGTTGGCCTAGAAAACGATTGTATATTTGTTTAAATTGAAATAAAATGTTAAATCTAAATTAAACCATATATTTTACCCATTAATCTTACTTAATAACCTCGATAATCTACGAACATTTTTCGTTATAAAAGATATTCTTTCAAAGAGTTGTGGGGAAATAGCGTAGTAATCTATCCAGCATTTTATTCAAATATGTACCTCCAACCAAGTACGGAATTCGATACCAAAATGTTACATGGACCGTTGCATGAGCATTGTCTTATCCACAGTTGTACTTCTTCACTGTCCCCAGTTTGGTTTCATCAGCCTTGGATCCGTGTTTGAGAGCAAATCCACCGGTATAAAATGAATCACCCAAATCAATAAGCAGCAAGTTGATTCTAGCTTGAATGTTCCTTTCACCATACCATGTACACTTTACCTTTGGGTCGTGAAGCTTACTCCTTTTCACGGTATTCACATATGTGTAATAAAGTTGTAACTGAACTGTTACAATCGGAGAAAAATTTATTCGGTGGGACAACATAAAAGCTGCTCACTATCGGGGAGATTGCCTATGGATTCCAACGTGGAAGCTTATGAACCATACCAGTGGCAGGCACAAAATTCAACCAACGAGGTCAATGATTAAATAACGAGTATCGGACTACTATATGGTTTTTTGAATGATTTCCCTATGTTCCACTGCGTATTTTCAGAATTCTTTGTCATAGAATACTTCACATCAGGCTCTCCAGCTTTTGTAACAAGCTTACGTTTGAAATAGTGTCGTGGAACGTTCAGTTAACTTCACGTTGTACGAGCATTAATCGTGCCTTTGCGTTCTGTAATCTTTTTTCTGTCTTTCGACTGCCCATTTGATCCAATAATGAGGATCGACTGAACAAAAAAGAAGAGATTTAGGAATGGTATCAAAGTAAAGATAGAGAATGCATTTAAGCCAAATTTGTATACCAATTCAGTAAATCCATAAGCACCGATGGTAACTACTGTCAGCCGTGTCGATAATCGCTTCCAACCACCAGTTAAACTTCTCTTGAGGTCCCCAAATGGGAAGCTGAAGGCAGCCTTCATAGCCAAGCATCCGAGTTAGGGTTTTTATGCGCTCATGTCAAATCTCAAGTTGACTAATCGTCATATGGGGTTACTCGTTTACATAAATGTCATCACAATCGTTTTCTCTCGTACTCTATTTCTGCAGGCAAAGGTCCTTCAGAACTGATGCGATTAAAAGAGTGTCCGCTTGATCCAGGTGGATATTTCATTATTGGCGGCACCGAGAAGGTGATTTTGATGCAGGAACAGACATCGAAAAATCGTATCATCATCGAGGAAGACAGCAAACGGGGTTTGGTGTGTTCTGTGACCTCGACTTCCGCACAAACAAAATCGAAGACAAATATCATCATGAAGGATGACAAGTTTTTCCTGGCACATAATTCGTTCACCGTCGACGTGCCTGCTGCCATACTGTTTAAAGCCATGGGTATCACATCCGATCAAGAAATTCTGCACATGATTGGAACAGAAGAATCCATTTGGGCCAATTTCGTACCAAGTTTGAAACAATGCCTTGAGTTTAATGTAAGTGAAATTTTTAACACAACCAATGATTATTAGAGGTTTTGAGTGGAACATAATTCAGCTAGCGAGGCTTGTTTTCAGTGGTTCCTCTTCTTTGGTTAATACATCACAATTTATGACTCAGATAAAAAAGGAGGGCGGTGATAGCACGTACACAAAAATTAACTGTTCTTCACTCGATCTCAAATCTTTTCTCATTCCTTGGAAAAATGCCATTATTTTTCCTATTCCAAAGCGTGGTGATCCTTCCGACCACAACAAATATCGTCCCATCGCTCTCCCGTCTGTAATTTCGAAAGTGTTTGAAACCATTATCTCCTACCAGCTGCGTTTCTCAAACGTGAAGGTTTGTTGAATGCATAATATAAACCCATCAGATCACTACCAATATCTATCACTATCGCAATGTCATCCATTCTTCTCTTGCCTCCTATCTCGGACACATTTGCGCATGGGGTTCTACCAACCATGTGTTTCAATGCCTCCAAAACTTCTATCCTATCTGTCCCTCTTAAGTGTGTCCCTTATTCTCCTCAATTGATTTTTGACTTGCTGCCCCTTTGTTTAAAAAATTCTTTCTCCCTCCTGGGTTTATCCGTAAATTCTTCTCTCTGTCGGTCCCCTTTTATTTCCACAGTCCCCTTTCGCGCTGCGCGCAAAGTCGGTTTTCTATTCCGCGCAAAGCTTTCCTTTACACCCAAGAACCTCCTTTTATAAAAAAACTCCATTCCGCAGGATGATCGAATACTGCAGTCAATTATGGGATGAAGCTTCGTATTCCGCTGTTTCTCTCCTGAACCTTTTTAAAGTAGGGCCATCCGGCTGATCAGCCAACCGTCTTTGACTTGCAACCTGCAGTCGCTTTCCCATCGCCGGGCAGTTGGTTCGTTATCTCTTTTCTATCGTTATTATTTTGGTTTCTGCTCTTCCGAACTCGCTTCAGTGGTTCCCCTTTAATTGTCTTTCTCTCGTCCATCTCGTTCTCAGGCGACCAGTCACCCTTATCAGGTTTTCCCCCAGATATCGGACTTCTCTCTTCCAATATTCTTTTTTCCCCAAAACTGCGAAATTGTGGAACACCTCCCATCTCCGTGTTTCCAAGCCCTTATAACCTTACCATTTTCAAAAGCAGGATTAGCAAACTGATTCGCGCTTGAACTTTGCTCCGCATACCTTCCTCCTTATAGTATGTCATTGATTTGGGGATTTACCTCTTTTGCTGTAAATCACTTGTGTAATAAAAAGTATGGGTAATACCCATTAGAGGTTTGTCGTTTGTTCTGCTTCATGTTTGATATCTTTATTTTACTGTTTGCTGGAGGTGTTCTGCCTTCCTCAGAACTTATGGCTGCTTTATTTAAAAACATCTGTACAACGTGAGCACCTCTGCTCATGCATATTGCGGGTATGTGAGATGACCCAAGGGACAACCAATGAGAAGGCTTATACTAAGCATGAAAAGGATAATGAAAAATGTAATGTGTGATCGTAACCCGATTGTCTTAGCCAAACACAAGAGGGGAAAATAAGTTTTCTTGAAAATAACACTGAGAGACTGGCTTAATCGCCACCAATTCCGCAAAAGTAAGTATACATGAAAGATCAATGGGTAGAGACAAATCTTCGTTTCACAAGGCCAGTTTTGGGGACACCTCCCTGGCTTTTTTTACTTTCTATTCCCTCCCCTGGGGAATTCACTTCAGCGAATAAACACGAAGGGGAGCAGTTCATCGGTTTACCGTTGACAGTCTCCAACTAGCCACACAAACAACCGGTTGCTTCGACTGGTTTTCATGGTCACATATCTATTCTGCCTTGCTTATCTCAGGTTCACACGAAATCAGATGCTTGTCGATGGATGCAATCCAAGCTGCAACAACGCCGATTTCGCACCGGTGTTGGGAGTGGTCTGGGCAAACCGTTGAAGGCGGATGGTGAGTACGACGTTGTTTTGGACATGCAACGATTCGTACGAGACATTATTATCACTCATGTGGAAATGGAAAAATTCAATTTCGCCCCACGGGCACTATTTCTCGGACAGATGATTCGGTATCTGATTTTAGCCAACGAGCATCACATTCCGGTAAGCTGTTCGTACTGGTTGTCTTTTATTCGCTCATGGAATATGATTATTTTCCAAATAATTATTTGTTCAAATAGTTGTTTGGCAGATTTGAAGTTTNAAACTTCAAATCTGCCAAACAACTATTTGAACAATTAACCTTGTCTTAGAAGCTCATTCGGTGGAGTCCGGTGAATTCTAAGGAAAACCTGTCGAGGCAGTCAGCTTACATGCTAACTGGTGGATGCCACATGCCTCTGTAAGTTGGATGGGTAAATTCGAATGTGAAAATGATCAGTGCTATCGGTGTGGCCTCGTAGCTCAGCTGGTAGAGCATGCGCGTACAAAGCGTAGGCGGTGTCCATGCGTGGGTTCGAATCCCACCGAGGCTACTGAACTTCTCATAATCGACATACAAATAATTATTTATTTTATTCACTAACTTTAATTTTAAATGGGCATTTGTGGTAATGTCGTGTTTCTACGTGTTTCGTCTGTGAACAAATTGTATTGAAAGCAAATGTTTGACTTAATGAGCAAACCGGTTTCAACTCCGAAAGTCATACTATCGATTGATTTCATCGGTTTCTTGCATAGGTAGTACAGACACCATGTGATTGAATGGAATACCTTTGGAGAAGGTACCAAACGATAACGTTTATTGTTGAAACCAGAGATAACAGTCAGTCAGCTACTGCCTAAATGTACGTCTACAGCATGTAAGAGTCAC